CCCGCACAATCTGCTGTGATGTCCTCATCTTCCATCTTACAACCTGGAGATAAAGTCAGACGATCCTTTGAGGGTTCCTCCATGGCGTGTCCTGGAAACATAGAGACACATGATGGAGAGATATGAGAGGGTGAGATGACTTCACTCAACATTCCATCTGGATCAGGAGGTCTGAGGGAGCAGATGTTCTATGAGGAGGTCCCAACCAGCCGGGACTCCTCCCATCTTCAGTCAAAGGGCCTCCTCCCAGATCACTTCTACATTGACACAGCCTTGTCAAAAGAGGCGGAGCCAATAGGGACTGGGAGGAGCAGACTCTTCACCCAACCACAAGCCTAGGCACTGGGTCATGTGACCTCTGAGAAACAAGAAGATCAGAGTACAGACTGGCAGTGACAGAAGAACATAATATGACCCACCTGTGCTGATCTCTGTAGGCGTGTCCTCCTCTATGGACGTCCTCCTCATTCCGGCCTCCTCCGTATATCGCTGATCATCCCTCACATACGTCTCTTCTACTTCACCCTCAACTTTCATCTTCATCAGATCTTCACCCTAAACCAAGAAAATGAAAGTAAATATCTTATAATATCCACCTATGGTCTCCAGGAGTCTCGTTCATGTTCTAGATGCTCCGTCCCACCTGATTATCATGGGGGAGGGTGAGATCATCTCCAGGGTGAGGTTTAGTATCCTCTCGGTCATGTGACTCCGGTCCTCCTCCATCCTCATTGATGTGGTCATGTGATCTCTGGAGGTCTCTCTGTAGAGGAGAATGATGTGGAGTACCGGGTGTATGATATTAGGAAGGGGATATGAGGGGTTAATAGGTGGTCTCACCCCCGGTGGGATTTGTCTCATGTAGATCGGGTTTTATAAATCATCTGTCCAGGACTAGATGGGACACAATAGATGTTGTTCACACGGCATTCCCACCACTAGATGGGGCTGAGGGGTATCAGAGTTTCCGATGCTCCTCGGCTCCCTCTAGTGTCAGGAATGTTGCTCGGTGTTTGGCTGGACGGATGATTTATAAGTATCTTGCCCGCATGTTCTGCTCCCACCGAGCTCTGTGGTGGATCTCCATCTTGTCTCATATACAGGCAGTACCCTGGTTCCTACAACACGGGGACAATCAGCAGTGGAGACGCCATGACCCCCAGATGACTGTTGATGGCTGAGCTCTGCTGTCCACCATGAGGGGCCCCCCGGCACTTGGACACCCTTCCCCTTCTTCTAACCCCTCCCTGGTCTCATCCTTTCACCTCGTCCCTCAGAGCCGCCCTGATTTCACTCCATGGCACCCAAGTGCCGTCCAACATCTCATCGCCGATGGGCACCAAAATATCCGCAAATTCAAATCCTGGAAATTGGGGGTCAAATTTCTGTACAAACCGAATCCGACTCTCATTCCTCAAACAAGAGACTGCTAAGGTGTAAAGGTCACACATCTCTATAACGAAGAGAATGTTCTGACCCTGAAGGGGTTAATATACATCTCCGCACTATGGTGTACGTTTAATAAATCGTGAAAGAGTGTGATAAGCAGTGAGAAGGCTTTTCTCACCTTAGCAACGTGAAAAGTGTATAAAATGGTGTTTAATAACCCGTGATAAGTCAGGTAGGAAATATCTCACCTCTTTTCATCCTGGTGATAAGTACACAGAGAGTAATGGGAATAAAGGGAGAAAAGTAGAGAACAGCTTTATCACGGGATAAATATTGTGAAAAGAAGCCTGGATTTAGCAGACCTAGTGCTATTTTTCTCGTGAAGCACTGAGCAAAGATACAGGAACTTGTCATAAACCTACTTCCTTTAGGAACCTTCAGGAACAGTTAAAATAAAGCACAGATGCTCCTCTTCTGGATTTCTGACATTTTGGGAAATTTTCTGCCGGTAGCAACGGTTGGCTGAATGCTGATTGAGAGGGAAAAGGAGGGAAGTCTGTCTTAAGGCCCCCCTTCCCTCATGAGAGTGACAGTGGCAGTTTCAAGTCCCCTCACTGTATCTGTGTCGTGTGAGGTAAAGTTCAGTAAGGTCATGTGACCTTAGGGCTTGTTGTTGAAGGCTCAGTCTCCCTCAGAAACAGGCCCACCAAATTAAAGGAGAACTTTGGGGTCAGTGTTTTTCCCCATAGTTCTCCTCGGGGTAACGGGAGGACACAAACTAGCATCCTCCCGTTACCGAGACACCGGAGCGGATCACGACTTAGATGACGGGATCCGCCCAGCTGCGTGAGTGACAGCTATCTAGAGGCAGAGCCAGCTGTACCCGCTCCCGTCCGTTCCGCCAGTCAGATCGGAGCGGGGAGAGGGGAATCCAGCCCCTCCCCCTGTCACGGCAGAGGCGAGCGATCGCCGGTATGTGTTCGCTCACCTCCCGATCTACTGAGCCGACCTGTGACAGTCTCATTGTCACGGGTCGGCTAGAACTATGAGGTGAGTGAAAAGCCCCTCCCCCCCTCATAGCTCTCCTTTAAGCTTGAAGGATGTCTGCGGAGTATGTTTTTGAGGCAGATGCAGTGAGCATTGCACTCCACACATAACAGTCTGTAACACCATTTCGCCACCATAGTCCGCCGTTTATGATGCATTAATACCTGCTGCTAGTGTGTTTGCACACACACAGTGCTGATGCACCAATCTCGGGACAGC